TTAAAAAAAGAAAAAAGAGAACGCGAAAATACTTGTCGCCGGAATGCTTTTAACGAATTAACGCCCCTACTACCCCGCCCCGCCCCGCCGCCTCGCCTCGCCTCGCCTTGCCGCGCCGCGCCCGCGCCCCCGCCCCGCCCCCGCCCCGTCGCACTTTTGCGATACAATATTTACTCTTGCTCCGTAAAGTCGTGTTTGCTCGCGTGTGCAGGCCCCAGGCCCAGCGCCCCTGGTCGCTTAAATCATTTGTCACAATTTAATAGAATGAAATATAAATATAAGCAACGCGCGAGCTTTAATTACGCCGTTAATTATCCTCGCCGCTTGTTGAAACTCCGCCAGAGCGGGCGCGGCGTAAGTCGAGAGCGGCGATTATCGTGAAAATTTTCCGAAAATTACGCGCGGAATTAGAGCGACCAGCCGTTCTCGTTGGGTCACGACGCGGCACTTCTCTCCTCTCTCGCTCGAGATCCGTCATCCTCGCCTTCTCGACACGGCATGCGTTGACTCAGTGTTACACATTCGCTGATACACAGCAATGCCTAATGTATATTTTATCTCGTCCTTATCTTATCCTCGGATAATAGGAAGTGATTTGTCCGGGACGAATGTCGCGCGGGACTCTTTTCCAGGCGCTTCGAAAAACACCCGGGTACGGTTAGAGGGTTAAAATCCGCCGGTGGGTCGGCATCTCGAGAAGGAAAAAAAGATTTTACCATCAGGCCAACGTGGCGTTGGAATGTCGCCGCCGACAACGACGAAACGGAAACATGTGCCGCCGAGACGAAAAGAGGACGACGGTTGCGTGGGGAACGAGACGAGGTGAATAGAGACCGAAAAACAAAGAGGGTAAAAAAGAGAAAGCGACGAAGAGGGTGGAAAAGGGAGAGGAAGAGATGCCGCTGGAAAAATATAACCTGTTGGACCGCGAAAGAGCGAGAGGAGGTAGCCGCGTAAGCGCGACGGAGAGAGCGAGAGGCCCGAGCGCGGCTAGAGTGAGAGACAGGGGAGCCGTAAGATGAAGAGAGAAAGAGAACGAGAGCGCGAGAACGAGAGAGAGAGAGAGAGAGAGAAGAACTCACGATAGAGCGACACGAACGGAACGAACGTGCGGCTGAGCAAGCGAGCGAAACGATGACAGGAGAAGGGGAAGGACGAGGAGAGACGAGAACAGGACGAGAACGCGCCGCGAGAGGGAGAAGGAGAGAGAAGGAGAGAGAGAGAGAGAGAGAGAGAGAGAGAGAGAGAGAGAGAGAGAGAGAGAGAGAGAGAAGAAGGACGCACGCAGGCGTCCCGAACCTGCCTCAACTCCGACTCCGACTTTCGCGGTTCGATTCCGATCTGATCGATCTAACCTCGTCGAAGCTAACCAGTCGCGAGTATTTACACTCTGCTTTCGCTCCTCGACGTTAGGGTCGTTAGCGTGTACTGTTTTTCTGCACGATCGCTCCTCTTCACCTATCGCCTATCTATCCATCCTACGTATTCGCTTTTTCTCTCTTCTTCTTCTTCCTCTTCGGCCAACTCCGCGTCAGCGTTTAATGAGATAACGCACCGCGTGCTCCGGGAGAAAAAAGGGCGGCTACTGTTTTCCGACCCGATCACGTATTCGTCATACTCCCCGACATTGCGCTTCGGCCGGCACCCATCCGCGACACGTGGTCGTGTATACCGCACTCCACATCCCCGGTCGCGCATTTAGGTTTCCCTGTTTGCGTTCCGCGTTTTCCGCCGAGCGTAGCCGTCCGCGAGTGCTGTTTGGCGCAACACGAAGACGGCATTTGATAATAACAGGGTCCGATCGTGATGTAATCACGATGGACGCTAAAAGCGGGTCTACCGTTGGACGCGCGCTCTTTGCGATACCCGCGTGTGATCGAGGCTACGGATGAACGTGTACGTGTATCGCGTGCGCGTGAGGCAGAGAGGAAGAGAGGAAGAGAGAAGGTATTAAAATATTCGCGAAAATCGAACAGCGCGAGAGAGAGAAAAAAATATGTCATATGCGAATGGTCGGTGGAGCCCCATTTTTTACGAACTCGCTTCGTCCAAGTACCTGATTGCGGTCTAAAAAGGACTTCCGGATATTCTGCCCGGCCAACGCCGAAAATGACGACACTCGTTCCCGCTCAAACAAAAGCTCCGACTGCGACATTTGTTAGCATAAACACGCGATCACAATAGAAACGGAGAGAAGTCGGGCGAGGAATGGGGAGCTCAGCGCGCGCGCGCGCGCGAAAGAGAGAGAGAGAGGAGAGAGAGAGAGAGAGAGAGAGAGAGACAGACACGGAGACAATGAGAGAAAGAAGAAAAAGAGAAAGACAGAGGAAAGATATAATTCGGACAGTGTCATCGCGAGCAATTTACACCGCGCCGATCGATAAATTAACGAGGCGTGTTCGATACGCGCACGCATTTTTATCGGCACCGACTGGTCGGAAGCGCGTTTCGACGGCTGTTACATTATCACACGGAAAATCGCATAGACGAATGTTCGAAAAAATTGTTAAGAGACGCGCTGCCGCGGTAATTCGTTTCAACGACGAGCGTTTTGGTCCTCCGATTTTACCTTTATCGGCCGATAAACGCGCCGTTTTTAATCATACGCGCGATATGAACGAAGTTTAACGGCGGGGAACAATGACGCGGGTGTTTTGGACTTTTTAACACTTCGGTTCCTTTGTACTGTATCGCTCGCTTTGCCTCGCGCTCGTCGAGTTCGATTTAATTGGGAGTTTACTTCTTCGTGAGTACGCGCACGCGCGCGCGCGCGTACGCTATGTGTGTGTGTGTGTGTGTGTGTGTGTGTGTGTGTGTGTGTGTGTGTGTGTGTGTGTGTGTGTGTGTGTGTGTGTGTGTGTGTGTGTGTGGACATGCGCGCACGTTGCACTCGCGCACCGTCGAGAGATAAGGTATTTACGAGGTGAACCACGCTATCGTGTGCGTATTAAATTAATATTAAAATATCTCCTTCGCGTTGACTCTCTCCCTCCCCCCCCTCTCTCTCTCTCTCTCTTTCTCTCCACAGATATCGTTCGTAGCGGCGTTCTTTTGCTTTCTCTCTCGTTCTCTCGCGTTCTCTGTTTCCCCGCCGCGTTTCATGAGTCACAATGATCACCGCAAATAATTCTCTATCGGGCGTCCCATTTCAAGGATGATTTACCGAACTTATCATCGTTCCACCGCGCGATACTACTAGCGCGCACCGGTAGCACAAAAGAGTCGTCGCATCAACGTAAATTATATTACGCGCGACTTAATTATATTCCGCGTGCCGAGCGCGGACCGAGCGGGAGATGGCGGCTAATCGAAGGAAATGTCGCGAGCTGCGAGCACGTGCGCGCGATCCGGGGATTATCTATCTTTCGCGCAGATAATAAAACGTAGCGCCTAATCTGGCGCAGCGTCGGAGCGAACGAGAGAGGCGAGGGAGAAAAAAGAATCCGGCGATAAGTGCGATCCGATTGGCTTCGTCATTGACGACGAGCGCCACGAATTGCGCGAGTCGCGGCGGATGTATGTCAGCGAGATTCGCGCGATGGTCGACGCGCGTACGTATTGATATGATTCCAGGCGAGTGAAAATGATTCGCTTATGATACACCAGGGCGAACTTAAAGAGGCGATCGCTGACCTCCCATCGCACGTGCGCATTAATGTGTGACGGCTTTTGTACCATCTACTGTTATGTGCATATTAGTGCATTGTCTTACTTAGAGGCGCAATACCGAGGGACACGAATAAGATGATTCCGTCGGCGATCAAGGTCTTACGTGACGCTCTTTTGTGATGCGAGAATTTGCGTATTATTATTATTATTATTATTATTATTAACTTTTTATTTATTATTATTATTCTATTATTATTTATTGCGTGTATCTATTATTATTTATTATTATTATTATTATTATTCGTACCACACACACACACACACGGGTGCGATTCTCTCACTTAATTTCACGCGGGATATAACCGGATTATCTAATCTCGTTTTTTGACGAGATAAATCTTTCCACGAATCTCGGAGTATTCCGACACGTTTTCTCTTTTCTCTTTCTCCTTATCGGTCTGCAAAGCAACGCGCGGACCACTGCCATTTTACATGACAGGGAAAAAGCAGGTCTCTCCGCACATATGTTGACGGCATGAGCGTCCGGTCTTGGGACCGCGCGCAGGTATAACAATAAAGTACAAAAGGGCCGCTGTGAGAAAAGCTGTGAGGTATAACGGGTCATCGAGACGCATCGCTGAATAATTTAACGCGCATTTGAAACACGTAGGTCACGAGAAAAATTCTCTCAAACTCCGCGCACTTTCTCAGCCGTACCTCATCACGACGTCGTCACCGTCGTCAATGGGATTTACACAACTCTTCCAATTAAAACTTTTTCGCAGTTTATCTTCCTGTGCGCACCGAAAAAATTAGGTTCTGTGCGCGCGCGCAGGTAACGTAACGAGTTCCAGAACGGTGCGTCGTGTTCTCGGACGCTCCCCTCCCCCCTATTCCCGCTGAGCAGACGAAAATATGTCTCATCGACTTTCCGCGATGGAATGAAATCGAATTCATCGTCAAGGTCAACGCGACAAACGGATCTATCTTTCTGCCTCCGTCTCCCTACCTGAATCCGCGGCTACCGCGCGAGTTTGAACTTTAACCTTGAACTCGAGTCCCGAGTCGTTTTATTTTCGCACGACGGCTTAAAGTTCCTCGTGCGTGCCGATAAATCGGTCAGACGTTTTCTCGAGCGTCGAACTTGGCGCTGTCTCTCGTTCGGCTCGTTCGACTCGCGAGAGCAGAGGGACCGTGGCAAGAAGTATCGATGTATATCATGTGACCGTGTACGCACGTTGTGTATATACACATATGTAATAATAATACTATATATATATATATATATATACATTTGTACGTTTGTACATACATGCATACATATACACGAAAATACATAAATAAATATATACATATATATGTATATAAATGGATATATGTGAAAAACTCACCTTATGGTGCTGCATGATGGCAGTAGACTTTCGCTTCGCGGACATATTCACTTTGCCGGGATGTCCTCTCAGCTCCCCTTCGGATCGGGAAATATTCACCTCGTTGGTCTATCCGCCTGTCCGGTCTCTGTCTGTCTCCTACTGTCCCTTCCCTTCTCCGCCTCCGTCCCTGTTTATCCCTATCTTTCCTCTTCTTCCTTCTACCTGCCTGTGGCCCCTCTCTCCCCCCTCCGTCTATTTTTCTCCTCTACTGACGAGCCATAGACGTCCACCCGAAGGCACGGCGACGAACACGAGGAACACAAAGGAAGGGTGAGGGAGAGGTTTAACGATGAGTGCACGCGGTGCGCGGTACTCTATCTTCCTCTCTCACTCTCTATCTCGCCTGTCCTCGCTCCTCCTCTCCTCCTCCTCTTCCTCCCCCTCCTCCTCCTCCTCCTCCTCCTCCTGTCCCAGTTAGTTTCTCTCGTTTCCTCTTTTGTCCTCTTCCTTTGCTTCCGACGACTTCCTGTGACGATTCGTACAGCGATACTCCTCCTACCCCGCTTGCTACGCAGGGAACGAGGTGTTCCTTCCAGAAGCAGGAACGAACAGAGTACGTCGTTCCAGCAAACTTTCTCGGAGTATCGTGTTTCGTTTCTCTCTTGCTCTCTTTCTCTCTCTCTCTCTCTCTCGCTTGTTTCTCTCTTACTGTATCTTGCTGCTCTCCTCGCTCCACTCTCCTCTCCTCTCTCTCTCTCTCTCTCTCTCTCTCTCTCTCTCTCTCTCTCCCTCCCTCCCTCTCTCTCTCTCTCTCTCTCTCTCTCTCTCTCTCCCTCTCTCTCTCTCTCTTTCTATCTTACTTACGCCGCACACGCGCGCGCGCGGTCGCACTCTGTCCCACCTTGCGTTCGCGAACTTTAAGCTCACCCCCCGCGCACACCGCACCACACGGCGACGCCACAAAAGTTCCGCGATAAAAGCCCGCGCTCAGTTAGTTGTTGCCGCAGGTGTCGGCGCCGCGCGAAATTAAAACAACTCCGCGTGCGTTCGAAACAACCGGTGGAATATCCGATGGAATAGCCGATCGACCGACCGACAGAAAAGTCCGCCTCGTCTTCTTCGGCTCCGCGTCTTTTCCACCTGTCTGTCTCTGTTCAATCTTCCTCTCTCTCTCTTCTCTCTTCTCTCTTCTCTCTTCTCTCTCTCTCTCTCTCCCTGTCTCTCTCTCTTTCTCTCTCTTTCTCCCTGTTTCCTCACGCGCGTCTTCTCAGCTGTTTTTATTAGTGTCTCTACTCCACTTTCGCACTCACGCGTCACGATGGACGATAAATGCGTACGACGCGTGCGGTAGCACGGCAAATTTCACCAAGCCGGTGAAACGGTGCGGCGATCAGCTGGCCCGTCCGATCTCTGCGTCATCCCGATCCCGAGAGGATCAAGCGCGCACCTCTCGGCGAATAAATTTCCAAGTTCGATCGGCGTACAAAGTGTCCTGTGTCGACTGACAATTCACTCGCGAGTGCGAACGAGAGAAACAAGGCAAGTTTCACCGAGAGCAGAGTCGAGAGTCGTCGCGAGCACGTCGCGTCCTCGTGCTCGTAGGCGCTTAAATCGGCGCCCGTCTGTCGACTGCGGCGCGATCGAAAAGAAAAACTAAACCGCGAACGCTTCCGCGGCCCGCTCGCAAGCTTCGCTGTCTCCCCGTTGAGAGTGCTCGGGGTCGGTTGACAAGCGCGAGAGTTTACTACGCGTTCCAACCGTCCGTTCTCTGGTCTCTGGTCACAGCGAGAAATGAAGTCGCTTCTCGCTTCGTCGTTAGGCGCACAGAACGTACTCACTACACGAACGCTCACGGCGAACTGGCGACTGGCGACGCGGCGACGACCTCTCTCCCTCTCCGCACACCGCCGCCACCACTACCACGTCTCTATCCCCTCCACAGCGTTCTCACTGCCTCACCCCAGCTCAAGCGGCAGAGAGAGCCTCACACTACCACGCTTCACCCATACCCCACTCTCTCTCTCTCTCTCTCTCTCTCTCTCTCTCTCTCTCTCTCTCTCTCACCATCAACCTACCCTCCCCGCTTTCCGCCGGTCCCTCCCGCTCTCCTGCGCTCCCCCCTCGTCCAATCCTCCGACGACCCGCACCGTTCTCTCACTCCCCAGCGGCCCTCTTCGAGCGCGTCAACCCCCCTCAGTCCCTCGACCCCCTTCCTCTCGCCGTAGCTGTCTCTCTTCGTCTCCGTCTCCCTCTCTCGCTCTCTCCCTCTCTCTCTCTCTCTCTCTCTCTTGCTTTCTCTTTCTCCCCTTCTCACTCTATCTTTATCTATCTATCCCCCCCCCTCTCTCTCTCTCTCTCGCGTTTCTGCTCTTCGTCCCGGCGCCCTCGTCGGCTTCCCCTCGACCCTCGACCCTCCCATTTGGTTCGGTGCGGTGGCGGCGGCGGCGGCGGCGGCGGCGGCGGTAAGGTAGGGTCTGTCACCGTCAGAACATCGAGGGGGCCGCTGGACGAGTAACTTGGGAGGGAAAGCGGGGGGGAGGGTGTTTCAAAGGGGCGTAAGGGGCCGCTGTCGGGTATCCGGCGACGCGGAGAGGGGGAGCAATGAGGGAACGGGCGGCAGGGACCTTTCCGGACGGTGAGGGCAGAGCGGCGGGGGGTGACACAGCGTAGCGAGGGGCCAAGGGGCGCCAACGCTCATCGGCCGAAGGGGCTTCCACGGGTGTGTTAGGCTTGTGCTTAGAAGGGTATGTGCCCACCGCTTTGCTCCTCTAGTGTACATGTGCGCGCTGCTACGTGGACGCACGGTATCCACGGCTCTCTGGGTCTCTCTCTCTCTCTCTCTCTCTCTCTCTCTCTCTCTCTCTCTCTCTCTCTCTCTCTCTCTATCTCTATCTCTCTCTCTTTCTATCTTGTGCTCTCTTGATCTCTCTCGGTCTCTCTCTAGTCGGCCTTCGTCTATTCGAGTGTGTACGCTCTGCCTATATCACTCTGTCTCCCTCTCTCCTTCCCGCTCTCGCTTCGTCCGTCTCCCTCCTGCTCTCTGTCGCTGGTCGTCTCCTCGTCGCGCCGGACTCCATCCTTTGCACCATACTGTCACGCCAGTGTGCCACTACCGGCGATACGTAACGTTGCCGTGGCTTTGCCGCGGTACTTGAGAGACGTAAGTTACGCGGCACCTCGGACGAGAGTGGTCCCTCCCGTCTCTCTACCTGGCCGCTTGCCTGCTCGCTCGCTCGCTCGCTCGCTCGCTCGCTCGCTCGCTTTCCTGCCGGCTTGGCTGCGTGCGACCTGGGCGAAAGAGCACGCTGAACGGGTTTGCTTGCTCGATGTGTATGTATTTTTTCAGGGGGAGCCTCTCTCCGTTTAAGCCTTCCGTATTATTAGCTCGTCGTCGTCGTCGTCGTCGTCGTCGTCGTCGTCGTCATCCCCGTGCTCGTCGTCGTGCCATCGGCTCTAAGTTAATACTGGTATCGGCGATCTACGCGCAAATAACAGTGATCTACGCGTAGAATATCCTTTCGCACGTAATCCGAGCGATCTGACCGGTCGCGGAGTGATCGGCCGCGCGTTTATGTTGCTGCCGTGGTCGTTGTTGCTGGCAGCTCGCTTAGATTATAAGGCGACCGGCGCGCGGCGGTGGCCTACGTCGTCCGCGCGGAGATTATACAGGTAGACGCCGGCATTGGCTAATACTTCCGCGGCGTGCAGCACCGAGCGCCGGAACGGCGGATATAGGCGAAGTGCGATAATGATAACGCGTCGAACGAGATCGATTTTCAGATACGCGCCCCTACCTCCTCTCTACTTTTATTTTCGGGATTCCCTCTCGTCGCTCCCGCGATACCTCTCGATATTATTATTAACCGGTCGTCTCTCTCGCGCTACCGCTTCGGATTAATACTTCGTTTAAGGTCGGCGGGGGGAGGGGGGAGGGGGTGATGAAGAGATGCGGGCGCGCCAACTCCGATAATTATAATATCGAGGCGGGGAGCGATTATCAAACGGCGCGCACCCGTCCTTACGCCGCACGTAATTACGATCTCTCGGGTTCGCGCGGCATCCGATTCACGCGACGAATGTATCGCGAAAAAGAACGCGAAAGAGAACGAGAGCACACGGGGGCAGCCGGGGTCCGAGATGACGGGTCGGCGGGGAGGGGGGAGTGGAGAAGGATAAAATCGCGGTGAGCGGTTTCCTCTCGTCTCTCTTCCGCACCTCGCACGTCGGTCAGTTGTGTAATAACGTTCGATAGGGCGCCACGTGTGTCCCGGGGCGTTTTCGTGAACGAACGGAACGAGCCGCAAGCCGCCTTTACGGCGCTACGTGAAAGGATTCGCGTAAACTTGGGAGACTTCGGTAATTCCCCGATGAGATCACGACTTCCCTTTGCCGCGAATCCAAGACGCGACCGCATCAGTCGGTCAATCGCACGTCTCTCGGTCTCTCCCTGTCTCTCTCTCTCTCCCCCCTCCCCCCGCCGGTCTCTCTCCCGTCGTCGGGTCAAGTGCGAGCAAAACTGCGGAAAATCCGCGCTTCCTACGAGATGCACGTAAAGTCACCCTCCTCCCCTCCCTCCGATCCCTTCTTCGGCAAGTACGCTACTTCGGTCAAGCTTGACGGCCGGAACACGATCGGATGTTCTCTGCGAGACTCCGCTCCGAGATTCCACTCGCGATCTCGACGAATGGATGCGCGGGATAACTGTTTTATTCTCGCCCGCCGATCGTTCTCGCACGGAGGAACGCGATTTCTCTCACGCCGCGCCGCGCCGCGCCGCGCCGCGGCGATGGAGCAATTAACGCGCTCGATCGAAGCCGCGTCGGCCACGCCAAGCCGGGACAAGCAGTTGCAACGCTCCGTCAATTTCCACATAACATTAACCCTTCGCACCGCACTGCAGTCGAGAGTGAGACTCCACGAAGCGATATACTTTCTACCGCGGTAGCATGAACCAATAATTCCTTACATCACTCGGTAATACGATCATACACCGCTGTAAATGAGTGTGCTATTTTGCATTGCTTAACTCCTGTCCTGCGATAAATAAGCACTGAACACAAGCGGACGCGCCGCGGTACATCGTATCGGAAGAATTTCGATGGAGAGGAGGCCGAGGTGAACAGTCAGGAACATGTCGGACCACGAAGAGCTGCAAATTCTTTGAAACACTAGCCAGCAGAACACGAAGTATCGCGGCGTGTGCAAGATACATACGATATCGATCCACGTCGATGCAAACCGCCCGGGCAAAAAATTTGCCGTGCTTGGCAAAGCGGCCGAGCGGGACGAGCGGGACTTTGGAAATCGCGTGAGAATCGCGATCGCCCGCGATGAAGACCGGCCTCATAATCTCGGCGAGGCGGCACGTTGTCGGGATTACTATGCGACGACGGGAGTACGCGCGGACGTGCTAAACGGCTAAACGGCGAC